GCGATGGTCTTGTCGCGGATGCGGCTCTCGGCAAAGGCCACGTCCTCGGGGATGTCCCTGGACAGGTGGTGGCACACCATGAGCATGTCGAGGTGCTCGTCGAGCGTGTTGTTGGTGTAGGGCCGGGTCGGGTTGGTCGACGAGGGGAGCACGTAGGGGTGCTCGACCACGGAGATGATGTCCGGGGCGTGGCCGCCGCCGGCGCCTTCGGTGTGGTACGTGTGGATGGTGCGGCCCTTGAAGGATTCGATGGTGGACTCGACGAAGCCGGACTCGTTGAGCGTGTCGGTATGGATCAGACACTGGACGTCGAGCTCGTCACAGACCGTCAGACAGGAGTCAATGGCTGCGGGAGTGCTGCCCCAGTCCTCGTGCAGCTTGAGGCCACACGCTCCGGCGGTGACCTGTTCACGAAGGGCAACGGGAGAGCTGTCATTGCCCTTGCCGGTGATGCCCACATTGACAGGTAGCTCGTCACAGGCTTGGAGCATCTGGCGCATGTAATTCTTTCCAGGGGTACACGTTGTCGCGTTGGTGCCAGCACTGCATGAACCCGTCAGCTAAAGGGGGGGTTGTTTCTCAAGCATGATGTTCCTGAATACTCACCTGGGTCCCACGCCGCCGCCAAGCAACGTGGTGATTCCAGACGCAAGAGACTCATTCGCCTGCTGCGGGCATATAAAGTGAATGTGCGTGTCGATGCCGCCGGCCGTCACAATCTTGCCCTCGCCCGCAATGACATCGGTGCAGCTGCCCACGACCATTCCCGGGGTCACGCCGTCCATGACATCGGGATTGCCCGCCTTGCCGATGCCCACAATGTGACCGTTCTTAACGCCAATGTCGGCCTTGTAAATGCCTGTCCAGTCAATGACGAGGGCATTGGTCACCACCATGTCCAGGGAATCCGCATCCAGGCGTCCCGTCGCCTGTCCCATGCCCTCACGCAGCGTCTTGCCGCCGCCAAACTTGCACTCGTCTCCGTAGACGGTGTAGTCCTTCTCGACCTTGACCCAGAGGCTGGTGTTCCCCAACCGGACGAGGTCGCCCGTCGTAGGGCCAAACATTGTGGCATACGCAGCGCGGTCAATCTGGAAGGCATCGATGAGAGCGGCGTCGGCCTGCGGCTCGGGCGTGTGCGAGAAGCCAGCCTGCTGCAGCTTCTCGACAATGTCCTTGACTCGCCACAGCTCCAGGCCGCCGGTCGCCATGTGGTTGCCTCCGCGGATGACCCTGTTGCCGCCGATTTCCACGAGCGTCACCGTCTTGGTGTCGCCGGGCTCGAAGCGGACCGAGGTGCCGGCCGGGATGTCGAGCCGGAAGCCGTAGGCCCTCTCGCGATCAAAGTCCAGCTGCGGGTTCGTCTCGATGAAGTGGTAGTGTGAGCCGACCTGGATGGGCCGGTCGCCCTTGCTCGTCACCTTGAGCCTGATCCTCTTGCGGTCCTGGTTGAGGGCAAGCTTGCCCTTGACGGCGACGACGACGCCCGGCCGCGCCGTGGCCTCGTACTCCTCGGGCGCCGCGAGGGGGAACAGGTCGGCGTCCGGGACGGGCAGGAAGCTGCCGTAGAGGGCGCGAGCCAGGTCGCCGTCGTCGGTGCGGATGGGGTTGTGGACGGTGACGAGGTAGGTGCCGGTGGGAAAGGTGCCCTCGACCTGGATCTCGGTCAGGGTCGCGCAGACCGAGGGCTGGACGTGGCGGCGGCCGAGCATGGTCGAGCCGAGGTCCATGAGGTCTGCGACGGTGTGGTTGCCATCGCGGATGAGCTCCTGGAGGTTGTTTGCGATGAGGGCCTGAGACGTGGAGGTGAGTGAGCATTGAGTCAGGTAAGGTAAGGTAGGCGTTGAAGCTGAGTGAGACAGCGAGAAGGTATTGGAACAGGAGGAGAAAGAGATGAGGTAGTGCCTGCGTACCGTTGCTTCGCTGTGGTTCAGCTTGACGCCCCGGGCGAGCCTCTTCTGCGCCAAGAATCCCACCTGTGAGATGACGAGCTTGTCGAGCTGAGC